AAACATATTCTCTGCGAATTGATTCGCTTGTATGGACTGAGCGTTAAACAGTTTCGCCAATTCTCTCATAAAGTTCTTATAGGATTCCGTTTGCTATCAATTCAAGTCAAATAACAATAACTTATTTGTGAAATAAAAATATTTTGACAAAACTTTCATACCTTTTCATATTTGGTATCATAATAGTAGTTCTTGGAGGGCAGACCTAATCCCGATGGTTCAATCTGTTGTACAAACAAACATAATAGTAATGTTATATAATAGCGATAAAAGCTTTAAAACAATATATGCTTTGAAATAATATTTTTCTAATCTATAATTCATGAAACGTGTCATGAATTGGTTTTCAAAGCGTGAAATTGATATTCGAAATTAAAAAATCAATTCTTTATACTTCACCACTACTTGAAATGTCAATCAAATAACTTATAATTAGGTGATTATATGTTATCACATATTTTAGTGTTAATATGAATACCTTAATAATGAAGGGTTGGTTGGGGTCGAGATCGTCGGGTCCGACAGAAACTTTAAAATATGGATTCACACCGTATTTGGTATGAAGTCTTTCGATGACTTTAGTTCTGTCCCAACTCTGGTAGGACCAGGAGCTCAATAAACTCCAGCCCCCAATCTCTTGGATCTCGTATTTAATGGTAGAAATAGAGTTGTATTCGATGTCATCCACATTAAGACACGAGGAATAGAAGCGCTTGACTTTGAATTGAGGATCTGCTTCATCGACGCCGTGACCGATGAGATCGATATAGTGTCTGAGCTCGTGTTGGATGCGGTCAGTGATGTGGTCGGTCACCGCCCAACTGCCCCTATTGTCTGGCATCTCATTCTTCGCAGTCCAACCATTGCATGAAAAGTGCCAAAACTGACGGCACGGGTCATAAGTGGTGTTGAGAGCGCTGACAACACTCGTCGCTGCTCTCAGACAATCACTTGTTTCACATTTGGGATCAGTTATAAGCGCCGGTCTTAGACTTAATTGAATGGATAATATAATTGTAATCAAAAGCAACACAAATATAATGATTGCGAGAATAACTATAATCCTATGGTTTTTATTAGACTCCAAGTGAGTTCGCGCACGTCTTAGGCTCTGGTTTAATGTCTGGAACCGAGACTTCTTTGAATTGTCACTCGAATTATTTTTATCCATTGTCTTCACATCACTGTCTTCTTGAGCTAATTTGTCGTTTTCTTTGGCTTCTCTGTCACTCTCGTCGCCACCATTCATATCATGGCTATTGTGCTGAGGCTTTGGGGCACTCATAGTGGTTGAGGAGGACTGCACTTCCAGTGGTGTCACTGTTGTCGTTGCCAAACAAGTGATGCTGTCTTTAGCCACGTCTCCAACAACTCCAACGGTCCTTACCTTCCAGTCCTCTCACACACCTCTCTCTCTCTCTCTCTCTCTCTCTCTCTC